CTCCTCTCCTCTCTCTCCCTCCACTCTCTTCCTCTCTCACAATTTAGTGCTTTTAATTTCCTAATGGATCATCTTGACAACATAGTTGCCCCCATTCCCCCCTCACTGCTCCCTATATTGTTGCCCACCACAGGCTAGGAACTCCCTGAGACGAATGCTGTTGACCTCCATCTTGTACCACATTATCTGACTCTTTAGTCAAGGATGGCCCAAAGACACGAACAGCTGTCTCCTACAGTAAATTCCACCACATCTCCTCCCTCTGCGTTGAGCGGGGATCTCTTGTGCTGTGCAATCACGTGTTTTTAGGTCTTTGTCGCATTTGACCATGCGGCTGTTTTTATTGATTGGCCCACCTCCAACTGGACAAGAAGATGAAATCAGTGAAAGGTATCAGGTAGCTGTATTGTATCAACAATGGATTACTTTGACCTTGTCTTAAAGGGGCAAACTACTCAATTTCCCCAATTCATCCGGATTAACAGTTCAGTTATCAAGCGAAAAAACAAGGAGGGGGAGCCAGTGAATGCTTAAAAAATTATATGTACAGGCACATGAAGAACACAGAAAAGGCTGTCAGCTGTTAAAGTCTAGCCCTCAGCATCAAGAGGTTAATACTGATGTGTCTTTAGAAATAGGGAAAAAGCAGTAAGTGGCATGAAATTATATTTTTATATAACTATTTGCAACAACAAATACCATTTGGCTAAAAATTGTGACACTCAACGTATGTTCATTGACAATGTATTTACTTATTTTGCTGCTAAAATATCAGATTTTGCAATACAATATTCACTCACATAGAAACAGCAGTATGAAACATTTTTATGGTTGTGTTCGGGCATTCATAGCACATTAAAGATTTGGGAAAGATTGTGATCTGATTTAATATAGACAAGTCCACAGTGACTTCAGACACAACATGTTTATTAACATTTAATTTTATTACCACAATCTTTCCCTTACCTAACCTTAACCAACGCTTTGGTGCCTAAACATAACCACATACTTTGTGTCCCTTTGGCAAAACAAAAATGTGATTAAACAGGGTTGGTATGTCTAATGTAAATGTGTTGAATATCTCAATTATATTAGAGGATCATACTCTTTATCAATAACCTATCCATCCCCCTTTTTGTGTTGCATGTATGGTTTTGTGCTTTGAAATATTTTTTTGCACCACCTCCTGCTACTCTATCCTGGGGGACAAACCTCTTGATGCTGCCGGAGGTAAAGCATCAAGCCAGAAAATCGTTATAAAATCCAGAGTAGCAGTCAGTCCAAGACTTTTTCTGTGTTCTTAGTGCCATTAAGTGGCTGTACTTGTGCTCAATTAGCATACTGAATGTTCTCACTTTTCTGCTTTCAACAGCCTTTTTCTTTGTGAAATACTGGACGAGTTTGAGCCAAAGCCAGACATAAGACAACCGAGAAGTCAGTGTTATATAGGTCTGGTAATTTGTATGCTGTTGGGTGTTGAGTCCGTAAAACAGGAAGCTCATTTATAACAGAAATATCTCAAACGTGAGATGTAAATGTATTCATGAGTAAGGAAAGGACATACACTGAGATTAACCCACTAATCCCTGTTTATGCAATAATCCATAGAGGGGGATTTGCCAGAGATAAGAGGAACACATTTAAAAATATATATAATATTTTGTCCCTTGTGTTTAGGTGAGGATGTTGTGTTAGAGCATCTGAGCCCGGGATTGGAGGAAGTCCCCCTGGCGCCGCCCGAATCTGAGGTGCCAATTCTTGACATCTGCAGCCCCTGCAGCCCTTGTTCCCTTGCCTCCTCCATTGTGGTTCACATCTCTGAGGAGGAGCGACAGAAGTATGAGGAGGAGATCCGCAAGCTTTATAAACAACTGGATGATAAGGTGATGAAAGGATGCAGCACGAGGCCCGTTTATATGCATGAATGTAGAGATTTTTTTTAATGGTATGCACACATGAATACAAAGAGAATATCATACATGTATTATTCATGTTAATGAATTCAGGATCAGACACATAGTAGTGACTAATCTAGCAACTATTAGGAATAGATGCCATTGGGGAAATAGTAATGTTCTACACTGAAAAGCATTAAAGCTTTAATTTATTTAACACATCATCACGTGTATGCTGTGCTCCACAGGGCTGTAATCCAAGTTTTTATCATCAGATATTACATTGAATTGGCAGAACCAGTTGTGTGTCAATTCACTTGGACAGTTTGTATTCCCCATACAATGCATATGTGAATAAATATAACGTATAATCCTTTTGACGTTTTCACACATGCAGACAGATACAGTGTGTAGTTGCACATATTGTGACAGGCAATCCATGGGGATGCATACATTTTATTTTTTCTCTACTTTATGTGGTACAATAGCTATAGCATCCTGATGTAGGATATTTTGTATTACATGCTGAGTATATTTATACACAGGACATGTTTTCTCTTACACGCAGAGTTTTGAGTAACATTTATTTTAGTTATTTTTCCATTATGGTATGCATTATGAGTTGACCACAGACCATCAAATATAAATAAATCAAATAATAACTGCTGTTTGAGCAGTAATTTATCATACCCTTTTTGATATACTTGTTTATGGTTATACAGTATTAAAGATTTTTCTCAAATAAGTATTGAAACTACTGCACATCTTTCATTTATACAGGTAAGTGCAAATGTATAGTTGTGACTGAACATGGTACCCAAAGTAAACAAGATAGCACAATCTGTACTTTATCAGTGTGTGTAATACATCGCACTGTAAATGAACTGTTTCTATTCAACGTGTCTCTTTGTCACTGAAGGATGATGAGATCAACCACCAGAGCCAGATGGTTGAGAAACTGAAGGAGCAGATGCTCGACCAGGAGGAGGTAAAAGACTTCAGTTTTACATCCTTTCATCAGTTTGGTTAAACGGCCCAAAGTAGACAGCACCTGCAAATGTGGAACTCATAAGCACACTTTGAATAGAACTCAGCCATGAGAGGTTTATTATCTTGCCCTTGAGATAGAAAAACACCAGAAAGCACTTGAAGAACATACAGCATTATTGTTGGCTCATGAGCGTATTTGTGTGTTAATAGCATTTTAAATTAGAATAGGTTTCAGTTGCTGCTTAGACACAATTGACTGGAGGGAATCGTCAATACAGACATTTATGAAGCACTGAAGCATGTAGGCTAACATTGTAACACTGTAGCTGAAAAACAAACAAACTCTTGAATGATCTGATATGTGATTTAAAATGCTGTGGAAGAGCATGACTCCACCATCTATATGAATTTAGAGACCATTTATGCAGAAGAAAAGGGTTACGGCCCTTTTCTCACACAAATCTACAGTAAACGGGTACTACACAAATGCTACTTGTGGGAAGTACAGCAATTACAAGATTCCATTAAAAGGTAATTAAGAAGAGTATTTACAGCATGTATTCATAACAGTAGCTAAACCAGTGGGCCAAACAGCCTGAACCAAGCTTTAGGATGTAGTACATGGCCAAGTAAAAGACTTCACATTCAGTTCATTCATATCCAAAAATGGGCCTGCTGTGCGTTGGGCTGACATGATGGTAACTACCAACAACCTTAGCTTGTGTAAAGTAACATGATTTTACATACAGCCAAACAGAATATGTGTGCTACAGTGCAAACACACCGGCACCCTGGGTAGAGCATTATCTACATTTAATGACACCCATTCAGTAAAATGACCCACAGTGGGCTGTAGCAGTGCACATGCAAGCAAACATCTCGGTGGCAGAGTAATATCAGCTCTTATAGTGGCAAGTGATAGTCTATGAATATAAAAATGAATATTTAAAATATGTTTCATCTGCTAAATTACACCTATATTGTGTAACAGGGTTTGTACACCTGCTTCTGTATTAATAGCAAGAGAACAAGATAAACCCCATCATTTCTTTATTGCTGTACACAGCAGATCTGCCTTGTGAATAACAATGAAGCTGCTGATTGTTGTACACAATGCTCCTATACAATTGTCTTTCTCGGCTCCTTTTTGAAAACCAGAACTCTTTTTATTTAGAGTTTATTCAAAAGATTATTCAAATTTTTGTGTCCCTCAGCTTCTGGCATCATCCAGGGGTGACAGTGAGAAAGTGCAGTCGGAGCTCGGCAGGCTGCAGACAGAGAATGAATCTGCTAAAGCCGAGGTGAAGGAAGTCCTCCAGGCCCTGGAGGAGCTGGCAGTCAACTACGACCAGAAGAGCCTAGAGGTAGAGGAGAAGAGCGTGCAGAACAAGCTGTTGGCTGAAGAGCTTGCAAAAAAAATGGTGGGTTTGGCTTCCTGGAGGCTCAGTTTCATACCATAAAGGTGAATATACACTGCAGATTAAAATTGGCGAACAGGGGAGAAGAGAAAGAATGATGAAGAGAAACTGAAAAAACAAAGAGGCAGCGACAGAGACAGATGGGTACATAATCGTCCTAGCATTAGCAAAAACTGATAAAGGCACATTGGACATAATGTGGTGTGGTATATATAAAGTAGGAAGGCACATTTAGGAAAAAGACAGAAAAGACGCATTCATAGATATAAAAAAGTCCCTGTCCTTCAACAAAATATACAACTACTGGTTCAAATTGCTTGATCACTGAATTCAATCATGGCTGGTTGTTTTGCACTCTGACCACAAATAAACACTGGACAATATTAAAAACTTCAGCTACCAAGAGCACAAGCTTGACTTTTCTTGATTAAGGTCAGTATTCAATCTCATAAATTCCCTTGACTGAATAGCTTGTTTGAGGTTGTGGTTAAGGGGCAGTGTTGGCATTCTAAAATACTAATTTGTAGTTATTTCAATCTGGCATAATTTATCTGCAAAGCCTGGGAAATTAAATTATTAATGATATTCTGCTTTTATTAAAAACTGTTTATTTCATTACCATTTTTGACAAGGCGTTGAAAAGTCTTGAAAACTGCATTTTCAATTAGTGATGGTCTGAAGATGTTTTATTTTAAGTCATGAGAGCTGAAATGCCCTGAAATCCTTAGTATGAGTGTTGGGATCCTACATAAACATAGTTTTTTCTGTTTTTCTTTAGTTATTTAGCATGAAAGATTTCTGTGAATTTTCACTGGTTTGAAGAACAAAGTGATGTCATGTGTATCCATGCATCAATCAGAGTTTAGGAACATTTGAATGAGAAACTGAGGACAGTCATTTTTAATCAAACCACAGCAACACAGTCCTGATGAAGCAGATTAAAAAGTCAAAAAGTCAAGTAGAGATAACAACAAAAGAAAAACCATCAGCAGAGTCCTTAATAAAGTTATTGTGACTGACTCAGTGGACGGAGTGGACCATTATTCACCTTCTTAAAACCTCTTCAATATTTCATGCACCACTTTACAATCTGCCACGGTGTCCTGCCCTCCCTCTTTGTCTTTCTCAGAAGCTGGTCCAGAAATTGATGAAAGGATTTGACAATATAACCACTCACTGCACAGTTTAGTCAGCTAAAGCCAGCTGAAACCTCTCTCTGTTCCTCAATCATTTCACTTAGCTCGCAGTCTCTGTGGCCTCTTCAGTATGTTCTGGCCTGACCTCTCACCTGTCTCAACATCCTCTCAGGGACCTCAGATGTGAAACTGAATACAAGAAACCATACAGTAATCTAATAAAAAATCCCATTAATTCAGCTTCTCAGGGTCTTTTCCAGCTTCATCCCCCCTGACTCTTTATTACCAGTTCTCCACTCACTGCATCCCAGCTGTTATGCTAATGTGGAGTGTTGCGGTTTTTTAAATTTTCCATATAGAAATGGGGCAGCATTGACCTAGAAAAATTGTGCAATGGAGTACATTCATCACTGTATTCACCCCACTGTCTCCTCAGCTGTTTTCATCTCTGCTTTCAGTGGGAACCTTAGTCTTCTTCTGCAGGAGGCCATGTCATCGCTCACTGTCACTGCCATTCATTGGCTCCTTTAGACACCTTCTTTCATCCATCCGTCCACTTAAGCCCCTTTCTATCATTATGATGAACTCCATTCATCATTCAACCAACATCACTTCTCTTCAGAATCTCTTCATAAATCTTTCTTTAACTAAACATTTTTCATTAACCTCACCTCTCCTTTTTACTTATTCATAAATGAATCAATTTCAGTTCATTATTTATTGCAAAAAGTTAATGTTTTGACACGGGAAGTGACCTGGAAAATGATCACATGGCCTAAAGTTAATGAAGTAGATGAAGATGGAGAGGAGTGAATGTTACTGTATTTAAGAAGGTGGTTAATGGTGCCTTTACTTGACTGATGATCCATAGGGGCAATATCCTAGAATGCGCCATTAAAAAAGAGCTCAAGTACATTATTTATATGACAATAAATGATCTACTTAGTATGAAATAAAACACTGTGTGTAGCACCACCAGTATGGAAAAAGACTCAAGCCAGAAAAGATTATATTTGAAATGAATACATTTGTGTTGCTCATGGTCACACCAAAACAAGGTTGTAGCTACTGTATGATTGAGGACATCAAGGTCATTCCTCAATTATTATAGTAATTTGATTTTGAAGGCTGATTTTGATGTTTTTATACAAAATATTATTTATTTATTGTCAAAAAATATTACTGAATAAAAAAGTAAAATAGGGATTTATAATTTCTCCATCAGGACTTTATCCTGGCACTTTGAAGAAACCATCTCTACTAATTGAAATGTTTGATTTGTTGCACTAGGGTCATTTGGGCTTATGATCTTAAAAATCCTGGCTATGGCACTAACCAACAAAAGGAGATTTCTAGGTCTAAATTTAGGCATAGTTTTCCAATAAGAAAGAACTTCTTTCCAAGGTAGACAAAGTGCACCACCCTTCCTTCACTTTATTTCATCAGACCTGTAGAGTATCGATTGAATCCAAATTGTTTAATTGTACTGAAGCCATTGGGGCTACAGCGTTGTATAGTCACAGCCTGCTGTACAAAATGGAGAAGGATAAAGAAAGCTCCATCAGTCACTTCCCCAGATCCTTTCATCCAGCGCCAATGCCATCAACCCCTATCCCGGTAGTTTATTGATTTGTAATTTAGTGGCCATTATGTTTTGCTGTTTGGATTTCTTGGATGAGAATGAGGTCAGGGGTTAAAATGTGTCTCGCAGCTGTGTGTGCTCTCAGGTTAAAGGACTCTAAATCCTCCCTCTCTCAATCCTCTGCTGTACAATTTTCTTGTGATTATTCCGCTGTTCTTTCCCATCTCCCCTCTTCTGGGTTTTCTCTCATCTCACACAACAACGCCTCTCTCATCCTGCTCTTTGCCCTCGTTTCACTCCTCTACTCCCACAGGCTCACCTCATGGCTTTAGAGGCGGAGCTGTCCCGTATCCAGGAAGTGAGCAGCCACCAAAGGAAACGCATCGCGGAGATTCTCAACGGCCTGATGAGGGACCTGAGCGAGTTCAGCACTATCGTTGGAAACAGAGACATCAAGCTGGTGAGTGGGACACACAGTGCAGGTTGGGAGACACTGTATTCACTTACCAGGGATGTTTTGAAAGAAACAGACTTGTGACAAAACAGGAGAAACTAATATAATATATATATCTGTGACAAAAAAATTACGTTTAATAAAAGTTTTGAATATTTAACTTCTAAACATTGGAATCCCCATATTCTCCAACAGTCAAAGTTACAAGAAACATTTAACTTTTGGGCACAATTGATGTAATTTGCATCAAAACCACCCTCCTCTTTTTAAACTCAAAGCTCACAGATGTCATACACTGGGATCGGCACATCCTGTTCTTTCCAGTGAGCATGCCATGTCTGTGGATAGATGGTTCTACATATTTTTAAAATCATATTAAAAAGGCGCTACTTCAGATCTTGCCTGACATGACTTTCCATGGTGCAGCTGGTGCTATAAATGATAATATGTTTAAAAGGCTCAGGGTGTAACTCACACTTAACTGACTGACTCCTTGACACTTGCCGCTTACATCACCACAAAATCCATTATTAATTTGTAAGGGATTACAAATTGTTGTGAGGCTAATCTTGTCAAAATATTGATAGCTAGGTTAATGAACCGAACACACCCACCAACCTGAGTCAGTAATTCACACAAACACTCTCAAGCACTGCGATTGAGACGAAAGCCAACAGAGAAGTTAAGATACATAGCTAAGAGTAATGGATAAAGCATTTAAGTGTCCAGTTTATGCCACCAAATTGTGTTAATATAAGTATTTTTAATTATATAATTAATAGTGTTCAAATAAACTATTTTTACAGATCAAAATTCCTTTTCAAATGAGCACATGACGAGTGGTGTTGCTGATGGGATGCTGGTAGAGTTGTGGGTGTGGGTCCTCTAAAGCTTCACTAAAGCTTTTATCACAGTGAAATATAAAAACAAGAGACAGAGTGGAAAATTCAAAATGTCTTTCTTTTCATTTTGTACAAATGTCTCTCTAATTTAACCTGACATATTTGGCATCTGTGACAATTGACACATCTTTAATACAATTGTCTGTGTGATTATGGTTGATGATCCAGTGGAAAAGCCATTTATTATATAATAGATATTCAGTAAACTGTATGTATTTCCATTTACTATCTTGTTTTCTATACACCCGAGGACAGGTTATAGGCATATCCACATATATTTGCTGTAATATTTCGATTTATTTTGATATGTGAGTATATTTTCAATCCTGCACTGCTTTTTCAGAGCATTTGAGTCACAGCATCTCCTAAATGATGCTGTGAACAAAATGGATGTTCAAATAAAATGGCAGACAGTTTCTAAGATGCCTCCTTTCCTCTTTAACTTCCCAGCTGTCTTTAAATCGTCCCCACTCAATCTTAACCAAACTAGTATTTTAACTCTCTCTTCCCCTCTTTGTCTCCAGCCCATGGAGATTACTGGTGTGATCGAGGAGGAGTTCACAGTGGCTCGCCTCTACATCAGCAAGATAAAGTCAGAGGTGAAGTCGATGGTGAAGCGCTGCCGCCACCTGGAAAACCTTCAGACGGAGTGTCACCGCAAGATGGAGGAGACAGGCAGAGAGCTGTCCTCATGTCACCTCCTTGTTTCACAGGTGAGGGACGGATACAAGCATTGGAGGAACTACTTGAAAACATCTGGTGTCGGAATAAAGTTTGTTAATCTGTCAATCAAGTGGGAAATGTTGGTGCTGAAAAATCAGGACACCTCCCAATATCAATTATCACTAAAAACAGTTGAGTGACATTTGGAGCATGCTGCTCTTCATCAGAATAATTAACATCACACAAAGGCCTACGTAAGTATGTGTGATGTTAATTACTCTGATGAAGAGCAGCGTGCTCGAAATGTCACTCAACTGTTTGTGGCAGTGACACAGTTTTTGCAGCAGAAGCCTTCAGCGTGTCCCGATTCTGTAAGGATTGCGTGTTTTGTATTCTTTGTTTCGATATGATTGATTGAGTCATGTTGTGAGTTTTAATATTTTTGGTATTTAATCAAATTCCCTAATCAACAAAGATCATAAATATTCAACGTAGATCATACATATCCACACTGAGTAAAAAGTACATTTTATCTTTGTCGTAAAGTCTTCTCTTGCGTAGAGGTCCTCATCAGTATACTTTCTGCATCTGAGACATTATGTTCTGACTTTCAGCATGAGGCAAAGATCCGCTCTTTAACAGAGTACATGCAGAATGTGGAGCTGAAGAAGAGACACCTGGAGGACAGCTATGACTCTCTGAGCGAGGAGCTGGCCAAACTCCAAGCTCAAGGTAGACTAATGGAACATTATATGATTAAAAAACAAAAAAATCATCATATTTAAAGTACAACAGTAGTCTCCTCAATAATGCAGTCAACAAACAAGACAGCCAATGTAATGGTTCTGTTATAGTTCACAGAGCTAACTAACATTCTCACAATGACTTTGTTAACATGCTGGTGTTTAGCAGGTACATCATGTTCACCATCTTAGTTTAGTGTGTTACTATGCTGACATTTGCTAATGAGCACTAAACACAATGTAAATGACAACTAACTAAAGTCAGCTAACATGTTCACAGTGACAATGCTAACACGCTGATGTTAAGCAGGTATAATGTTAATCATTTTCATCATCTTAGTTCTTAGCCATAGCTGAGGGTGACAACCAGATTATTAGTTTTGCAGGTATTTAATGATAAACCAAAGCACTGGGCAAATTTATAAGGGATCACAAAGGTAAGAATGAGAATCCATCTAATAGTCGTGGAGAGAATTCACTTAAAACCACAAATTTCGACCTTATAACACAGTCAGTAGAATTCATTGCCTTTGAACCATGATACAAAATGTCATCCAATAGTTGGTGAGATATTTCAGTCTGGACAAAAGTGATGGACCAACAGACCAATATTGCGATCCATATAGCCAAGTGTTTGTTACTAAAACGACAGACAATATTAGTGTACTACTTATACTTAGAAATATTGAAACACACAGTCAGCTTGAAAATTCAGCACCTTGGTGAAAGTGCATGAATCAAGCTTTCAAGGTTAAATCTAACAATTTAGCCAAACCTGAGGTTCAAGGATCGATATTGCATAAACGCGGTGCAGTACATATAAAAAAAGGTTCTGTATTTGTAATAAAAGTGTATTTGCCCCAGGCTCAGGTTGAGATATTTTACCTACGTGACCGAAATTACAAACCAGGAGCAAAGAGTTTAACATTTATTCAGACTCTAAGGTGAAGGAGGAAACTATCAATATGGTCAGACAAGCAAAACAATAAGCGTATGGTTGAAAAATCCGGCAAAATACAGGGCTCCAAGAGAACAGATATTTGCTCAATAAATCAAAAAATACTGCAGGTTTAAACTGAGAATATTTGTCCAACAGAAGCACAAGTTATTAAAATGACATTGTGCTGCAGGGATTGAAATAATAAATAATGATTTCCTAAGTGTTGTGTGACATTCTTACTCACTGCACAGTTAAGGACAATATTTAAATTAATCTACATCATAAATATTGCCAAACTGCTGACTTGAGATGCCAAAGTCAAATATAAGGTTAATATTCTGACACAGTCAAATAAAATCATGTCAGGATAGGGAAAACATAAAAAAGACAACACGTCTGTCAGTGAATCTCAGCTCCACTAGAACTAGAACTGAGAGGAAGGGCCTCCTTGCTTAAAACAATGTTATTAGCTTCAATGGAGAGTTTGAGTCAGTGCCAGAGGCCTTTCTATCCTGTCAAGAAAAAGAAAAACAAGTGGTAAACACTGATGAACAGCTTAGGCTCCAAAACATTTCACAGCACCAGCACGAAGAGATTAATGGTACATTTGAAATTTGTGCGCGGTCCACCTAACTGCAGATACTCCCAGGACGCTGACACAATTCACAAATCAGGCCAAAAGCAATGTAAGTCATTCTTCCTGAGGAGTCCCATAGAACTGCATTAAATAACCCATGGATTTAAGGGCAGGTAAATCAATTTTGCCTTTACTCCACACCAGAGCCAGGCGGTCCTAGAGTCATTACAGAAGTAGATAAATACAAAGTGCTGCAGGTCATGTCGCTCTCATAGTCTGGTGTGAGGTAGAGGGCTCGGTAATTTCATCATCAGACACCAGGCACAGCAGTGTGTTAACAAAAGATCAGATCAGCGTGACACAATAGCTGTCATTTTCAATAATAGATATTATTACACCCCGGGCACGACTTACATCACGCTGACCTCACTGTCAACATCAAGCGGTAGTACTGCTGTGCTGTCAAAGTCAGGTCACTCTCACCTCTTTCATCTACATCACTGTGTTACTTTCTTTTGTCTTCCTGCTTTCCTTTTCCTCTTCTTTCTTCTCTCTTTGTCTTGGTTTCTCTCACTGGATTTCTCTTTCTGTCTTTTCTCCTAATTTGTGTGTGTGTGTGTGTGTGTGTGTGTGTTTCAGAGAGCATGTCACAGATGACCAGAGGGGAGAACCACACATCTGTCCAGGATTCCTATGATATAAAGGTAATCATGACTAGTGTAATGACCTTTTCTCACACCACTTAAGCACTCAGCTAACTGTAGATCTGCATGTGTGTGATATGGTTGTCTCATAGATATATAATAGAACTAGATACCTGATGCCTATTCAGTCCAATAAAAATTGCTTGCCTGGCACATTTGCCAAAAAAGTTTCCTAGCTTCTGCAATGCAGTAGTAGTGTGTCTTCCCACTTGGCCCATAGATTTTACATTGTGATGACATTTCAGATTTTAAATCGATTTTCTCAGCTCTAGTTAACCTCGATGGATCAAAAATTAATAATAGAAAGGGTCATAGTTGACCTTGTTTGCAGTTCGAAGTGTCCTGTGACGTCTGTTTTATAAAGGTGAGCTGTGGGGGAAAAATGTTTTTTAGGCTGCAGGTAACCACTGGGCAAAATTGGAAGCAGTGCTGAGCGGCACTGCTGTATCTAGTTCTATTATATATGCATGGTTTGTCTGCGACTGCTTCCATTAATGTGCATTCATGTGTCAGTGTACTGTGTCTGAGCTTGTACATAGGATCCCGAGTGGAAGTGTTTTCACATGTAAACCAGGGCTGCAACAGTTATTTTCATTATGCTTTAGATTCATCTGACAGCTTACTTGTCTGTACAGTACATATAATGGAGTCAGCAGCTAGTTAGCTTAGCTTAGCATAACCACTGCAAACGAGAAAACCGCTAGCTCTGTCCAAAGGTAACAAAATTGTAGCATGAAAATGATATGTTGCTATTCTACTGCTGGTGACCTAACAACTGGTCCCAGACAAGAGATTAACTGACACTTAACTGCCCCTAAAATGGAAATGTATCATTTTTATACTACAATGTTGCTACAGATTGATCAAGCAAGATGTCAAGTGAGCTTCAGAGGTACTGGTAGACATATTTTGTTACCTTTAGACAGAGCTAGGCTAACTCTCTCCCCCTGTTTCCAGTCTTTATGCTAAGCTAAGCTTACTGGCTGCTAGCTCTTTGTTAATATGTATTGTACAGTCATGAGAGTGGTATACGTGTTCTCATCTACCCCATAATGTAAGAAACTTGTGAAAAATGCCTATTACAGTTGCCCAGAGCTGTGATCACTTCAATTAACAGTCAAACAGTCCAAATTCAAAGATATTCAATTTACAATGAAACAAAATAGAGAAAGGTTGCAAATCCTCATATTTGAGACAAATGGAAATAGCAAATGTTTTGCATTTTTCCTTGATAAATGACTTAATCAATACATCATTTCAGCACTAATTTGCTCTTGGGCCTTTGTTATCTCCAAGTTCCCATCACATACAGTACACACAGCAAAATAATGAGGGTAGTTTCATTATATTCTGCACAGAGATCCAGAAACAAACCAGTATACTGGAATGTTACCAGGCCTCAGGTTTTCTGTATGTCATTTAGATTATAGCAATTTAATTTAGGAAAATGCACCATGTGAGAAAAAATATAATCTAAACTGATAAAGGTGTCCCTTTACAGATAGGGTTGCAAGATTATAAAAATGCAGGATATAGATGATATTGGACTTTAGTGATGCAAATCCCCAAACAAATTTACAAGTAATCAAATAACCAAAAACCATCTGATGTTTTTGAGGCCCCTAGAGGTCTGGGGCTGCAGGCCAGTTGCTCACTTTGCCTTCCAACCTTACAGCAAACATGCAACACATGTAGTTTTCAGCTCCTTAACACTCCTGCACGGCTGGAAGTATGTGTTTGTTTTTTTATTATCTGCCTGTATTTCTGCACATGTTCACAAGAGTGTGTTTTCGCATGTCAGTGTGTTTGTGTGTGACACGCTCCAGTTCCATTAGCCATGTTCCCAATTGTACACAACGGCAGTGTGCTGTGTGTACCAATGCCCATGTGGCCCTCTATGTCCACATGTGCACTGGTGTGTGTAATTGTATTCTCTCTTGTTATTTAGTCATTTTGTTTTCCTTTTGTTCCCACCCCTTGATACCGTCTCTCTCCTCTCTCTCATTATATATGTATGTCTCTCACCCCCTCTTGTTGCCCATACCTCAGAGGGCTCTGGAGCAGCAGATGGAGTCACACCGTGAGGCGCACAGCAAACAGCTTGGCCGCCTGCGAGACGAGATCAATGAGAAGCAGAAGATCATCGACGACTTAACTGAGTCAGTTTTTCATTATAATTCTTTTTCTCTAACATACTAAATAAGGATTTCTTAATCAAGAGTCCACTTTAGAAATGTGTAACTTGTGTAGGAGTATAAAAAGAAAAGTGCAGGAGTATTTTAAGATATCAATTATAAAGAAAATATAAAAGTGTCATGGAAAAGGCATATTTCCTTCTACCTTTGAGACTGGTCTGTGTGGCACTATACAGTGCAGGTCACATGGTTCCAGAAGCATATAGCTTACCCTCTGTGTCAGCTGTCTGTAGGCTCAAATCTAAAATTCAGTTCTACCCTCATAAGCAGTGTGGAAATGCTAAAATTGGGGATATACAGTCCGCAATTTAGTTCTCAAAAAAAGTCTAAGCCCTAGCTGCAATTCAATATGTGTGGGTGGTGGACATGGTGAAGAAACTGCAGCGTGGGAGGACTTTAGAGTCAAACTGCTGCTAAACCACAATGTGAGGAGCCACTGGGCTGGTTCGGGCTCCTTGAAGAGACGCCCCCCTCAGGTACCATGTTTGGAAAATGTTCTGTACCAAGCATGACCGTCTGGGAGCAGACTGTAGAGCAAGCCTTCTTGAGGGACTAAAGTACACTTCCCAGCTGGCCTGGGAGTGTCTGGTAACACCCAAGGAGCAGCTGCAGAGAATTATGAATGGCTGCTTTGCTTGTCCTGCTGGCATAGCCTGATTTGGATAAGCAGCTTGAAAATGGATGGATGGATGGGTGTCAGTGAGGTAGAAAGCATCTGAAATAGGAGCAGAGTGGGCCTTTAGATCCTTGAAGCAGAGTAGGAAAAGCGGCTATACATAATAAATTCTTTAAGATTCAAAAAGAGCAAAAAATTGTTTCTATTTAGGGTTCACGCAGCAGCATGTACAGGTGTGCACTGTTTTGCCATATTTATTTTTTAAACCAGCAGGTATTGGTATCCTAATGACCTTGCACCACTAATGGACCACTCTGATCAGCCAATCTTAGGAAAATTTAAATCCTAACCCTGCATGCAAATGGTCTCTCCTCATCATTTTGGCTCCGAAAGTCGCTTTGAAAGTCTGTGCACGCCACTGAGCTGGATCTTTACTCCTCAGACTCAGGAAATAAGAATGTATTCTTCTGTCTGTGACATTGAGGCGGCTGTACTCTAAGACCAAAAAAACCTATTAGGCATTTTTACCAGTTTCAAAACTTTTAATAAACCTCTCTGGTGTCCTGTAATATGTCTTGTCCAGTAGCTGAAGGCGTAGTAGTAAAATTCTGAGATGGACACGCAAGTTAAATTATCCTTTTAAGGTCTTGAGAGTTCATAAAGTCATATTCCAGATGGGATTTTGTAGAGCTAACCTACATTTCCAGATTGTATTTTTTGATTGTATTCTATTTTTAATCTGCAGACTTCCTTCCTAGTATCTATTTCCGTTAAAATATTTTGCACTTATCTACTGAATGCCATTGTTCACCTTTCCAGTTGTAACCAGAAGCAGCATCTGGAGTTGAAGCAACTGCACTGTGACTTTGAACGTCTCAAGTGCCAAGAGCATCACAAGAGCCGGCAGCTGGAGGAACTGACGTGAGTTTTTGCTTTACTGTCCTGGCCGGCTTTCAAACACTTCACCATATGGAGACCTGGGGGCGAGCTGCCTCTTTTGATTCACGTCTTCCATTTTTCTCTGTCATTTGTCTTCCTTTTGTCTATTTATTTTACTCTCGCTCCTCAGCTCTGACTGCCTTCTATTTACAGTATGTGTCTTTCTATGTGGTGTATTTCAGTCATACAGTCTGAGAGTAAATTACCTGGAAGCTAACCGTTTTAACCCACTCTTTGCCTCTTTTCTCTTTCTTTCTTTGTAACTCTATTTGCATCTTCATTATGGAGTTTTGAGATAAGGTAGCAGCTGGTTGCTAATAGGCCTCTTTCTGCACTGACCTTTGCAGCATATTGCATCAGATTGGCAGATGGTTAACAGCCCACGAGTGGGGCAGCCGGTCCATGCTGCGTTTGTTCTTTATTCATGAATTATTCTGGCAAGAATGTGGTCCTCATTTGCGGTAAAGAGATTTCATTTTGAATTTTCTCTCTATGTGTGTATCTATTTGTCTGTCTATAGATTTCTTCATGAGCGCCATGAGCAGTCAAAGCAGGACCTCAAAGGGCTGGAAGAGACTGTTGTAAGTCATTATTTGCTGTCACGATTCACTTGGCTCCCTCAGAGGCAACTGATCCACTAAATACTCTCTAACTGCTTTAACTGCACTATTTCCTCTCTCTCTCTCTCTCCCCCTTCATACCGAAGGCTCGTGAGCTCCACACCCTGCACAACCTCCGCAAGCTTTTTGTTCAAGACCTCACGACTCGAGTTAGAAAAGTAAGACGGACGCATCTTAACTATAAACAACAAATTACAGTATTTGCAAGGCAGTGCTAAAAGATCTCCACTGTATCTGTCAACAGAGTGCAGGGATGGACCCTGATGATAGCGGCGGATATATCACCCAGAAACAGAAGATTTCCTTTCTTGAAAACAACCTGGACCAGCTTACAAAAGTTCACAAGCAGGTAACAATAACAGACAGATATAAAACTATAAATTATAGTAAAGGAGAGAGATTTTCTGTCACCCATCTCTTTAAAAATTAGAACAGCAGTAAGGCAGAAATGTCTCAGCTGGATAGAACATGAGAGGAGGACAAAAAGAGCAAGTCAAATTAAAATACAGAGCAGTGTGCGCTGTTTGTCATTGCTCTCCTATGGGCAAAAGTAATGCTAGCACCATCAATCATCTCACTACAGTAACTTCACATGAAAGTCTCCTTGAAAACAGAGCAGCAGGAGGTGTTAAACCATGCTGCCTTTGGGGAAAGGAAGGCGCACAGCATAAAACAGTAAAACTCACAATTGATAAACACAAATGAATTTGTCATGCAGGTGCACAAAAACACGCTGAGTCTTTCTCCTCTCTCTAGCTGACACGCACAAGCTCTCAAGTGCAACCTTGCGCTCAAAAAAGATGAGACATAAACACACAGACTTCACATCTTTCTTTAATATTCCTAAATGGACTACAGCAGTGGACAAAGTGTTGATGTGCTAAATGTTCTGCAGACTGGCACATACACTCAGGCTGGCAGATTGGTGAGAGCTGCACTGCAGCAGTCTGTCAGGCAGAAAACCAATCCTAAAGTGGCTGCTGGGAGACTCCATCCCATCCACCACCTGCTGATACTGTGGGAATGGAAGATGAAAGTCATGGTCATAAATCAGCGAACTCCCAGGAGAAAGTGATAAGGCTCCCAAAGACAGACAGTGGACAGTGCACTGGGGCTTTACGTTTCTCTGCCCCTCTACAGACATAGTAATGTCTGCCTGTCTATCCATCTATCTGCACACACACACACAGCTGTCCAGAGTTCTCTTATAACATCACTTACCCCCTGTGGGAATGAGGCCCCCATTTGTTTTTGTTTTTTCCTTCAAAATGACTCGCCGCCAAACAACAAATAGTGCTGCCAAGCCTCCAGCAGTTCTATTGAATTCCCTGAGTCCTTTTTCTGCTTTGCCTGTGAGATAACTCTGCCCTGTTTGCTAAACCCTCAGGTCTTGTACTTAGTGTCTCTGCAGGGTGTGGATTAGTTTGCATGATCACGTAGCAGCAGACTGTCAGTGTTTAAGGTGCTCAGTTATTGGATTTCACGTTTAACTTTCCCACTTATAAGAAACATTACGTAAGCGGCAATTTAAAATCAATAAATCTTCGCTTTGATTTTGCTTCATGACTATAATCATAAACAAACAAAACCATTATCTAGCAACCATTTCGTGTTTTATATTATGTGGCAAGGGATTGGCTTTTGTCATGTTTCTCCAGTATTATTACTTCACCAAAACCAAAGATAAGACTTTTTTATTATGTATTCAGACTTTTTTTTATGGTCGGTCAAAACATAGATAAAAAACATTTAAAAAAGGGAATCATTTTATTAGTTCAGTTCAGGCTTTATTTTCTGAGAATAAATGTACCAATCAATATTTTTTGATAGCAAAAGATGCAGCAATGCAATTGGGTAAAACATCCTCTACTGCAGTTCTCACAAACTGTCAACTAACAGCGGGTTTTTTCTGCTCTCTGGCCTAATGAGCCCATTATGAAGCCGCTGCACAGTTTTGATTTAGGATTTATCAGAAGAGTTTTCAAACTGTATTTTTCATTTTTTACAAGAGAAGGGATTTCAATGATCAAGACTAATGTGGGGCGCCCGGATAGCTCACC